CTCTGTGAGTCAGGGCCCTGCCTCTTCTCTGTTTCTGCCTGGATCTCCTGGAATTGCCCCCAGTGACCCCTTCCTGTCCCCATTATCATGCCTACAGACAACTAGAAGTGTGCCTTGGGGAGGTGGAGAACTCACAGCTGTTTGTGGGGATTCTGGGCTCCCGCTATGGCTACATTCCCCCCAGCTATGACCTGCCTGACCATCCTCACTTCCACTGGGTAAGACAGACAAGGTTGGAGAGGCTGGGAAAGAAACAGGAGTGGGGGAAAGCCAGCTTGACAGGAACTCTGGAATATGCACTAACGGGTCTTTTTGAGTCTTGAAGGAAACACTACAAACCATGGCCTAGATGAAGCAGTTCCCTTGGGAAGGAACTTTGGTCTGCTTAGCTTTTGCCATCAGACAGATCTGGTTCAGCCCTCCCTTTGGATGTTTGTAGGTTGTATGGCTTTTTGGAAACAGAGTGGTCTAAATTAGCCTCAGTTCCAACACATATTAAATAGAAACAACATCTACATTTCAAGGTTACTATTAGATAGAGTTTTATTTAGCCAGGTGTAGGTATGTGTACCTAAGATTGGGTAGGAAGGTCAGGAGTTCCAGGCCATCATTATTTCAGAATATAATGAAGAAGGTCAGAATCGGGGCATGGTGGCGCACGTCTTTAATTCCAGCATTGGGGAATCAGAGGCAGAGGAGCTCTGAGAATGTGAGTTTGAGCCAGCCTGTTTACATAGCATGTTCCACACCAGACAGAGCCATATAGTGAGACCCCGTTCCCCACCCCCCACCCCCACATACAAGATCTGGGAGAATAGCTTAGTGGTAGAGTACTTGCCTACCATATGTAAGGTTCTGAATTCGATGTCCAACAGTGTCAATCGTTTGGTAATCGTTAGCTGGTAACTACATTTTACTACCTGTGTCTTCGAGGAAAAGGACACAAGCTTACTGAGATAAGGGTGATCTCAGGCATTTGAAGATTTCCAGGGATGGACTGGCCCTGCCCATGTCTTCCTTCTCCATGTAGGCCCAGCAGTACCCTTCAGGGCGGTCTGTGACTGAGATGGAGGTGATGCAATTCCTGAACCGTAGCCAACGCTTGCAGCCCTCTGCTCAAGCTCTCATCTACTTCCGGGATCCTGGATTCCTCAGGTACCTTCTGTTGCTACCCAGTCAAATTTTCCTCCACAGAAAGCCAGACAGGTTCAGTTCTCGGCCCCTAACATCCAGTGCTGAAAGAGAAACAGGCCTCAGAGAGCATGTCTCTGCCACCCCAAGTCAGATCTCAAGCTGAGGGCAGAGTTTCAGGGAACAAGAGCCTTGTCTCCTGGCTAGTTCAGGAGGCTAAGCTCTGAGTCTGGCCCCACCCCTGGCATGTCTTTGGTGGTCAGCTCTGTGCCAGATGCCTGGAAACACGACTTCATTTCTGAGTCAGAGGAGACTGCACATCGGGTCTCAGAACTGAAGAACTACCTACACAAACAGAAAGAGGTTACCTGTCGCAGGTGAGCCGTGGGAGGTGGTGGCACCTATTCAGGTGAGGTGTGGTGAGGCGAGCCAGGCCTACTCTGATGCTTGTGTTTGCTTTGCCTGCAGGTACTCCTGTGAGTGGGGAGGTGTAGCAGCCGGCCGGCCCTTTGCTGGGGGCTTGGAGGAATTTGGACAGTTGGTTCTTCAGGATGTGTGGAGCATGATCCAGAAGCTTTACCTGCAGGTCAGCAGGAGTGCTGATGATGGGAGGGAGCAAGCTTGGTAGTCCTGGGTGGAAAGTGGGTTGGTAGGGGGTGGGTTTTAGGCCAGGAGGACCTAAAGAACACGAAAACATAACCAGTACCCTTAACCCTCAGCCTGGGGCCCAGTCGGAGCAGCCAGAATCCATCTTGGATGATGATTTGATCCAGGCCAGCTTTCAGCAGCTGAAGAACCCACCGAGTCCTGCTCGGCCACGCCTTCTTCAGGATACAGTGCAGCAACTCATGCTGCCCCATGGGAGGCTGAGCCTGGTGACCGGGCAGGCAGGACAGGGAAAGACTGCCTTCCTGGTATGCATCTCAGGCAGGAAGAAGGGCTGTGGGGCTGAGGAGGTGGTGCAGAGACACTGTGCACATACTAAACTGTAAAGATGGTTTTGTTCTGTCCCATACAGGCATCCCTTGTGTCGGCGCTGCAGGCCCCTGACCAGCACAACGTGCCCCCCTTAGTTTTCTTCCACTTTTCAGCAGCCCGCCCCGACCAGTGTCTTGCCCTCAACCTTCTCAGACGCCTCTGTACCTATCTGCATCGAAAACTGCAAGAGCCGAGTGCCCTCCCCAGCACTTACAGGTATGTGCACCAAGATTAGCGGGCTCTGCTGTCCTCTCTGCTTCCCCGATTCTGACCCTGACCTCTTCACATACAGAGGCCTGGTGTGGGAACTGCAGCAGAGGCTGCTCCTCAAATCTGCTCAGTCACTGAAACCTGGTCAGACCTTGGTCCTTGTTATCGACGGGGCGGATAAGATGGTGGGTCAGAATGGACAGCTGACTTCAGACTGGGTCCCCAAGTTCCTTCCCCGGGTGAGTGTGAGGCCAGGCTGAGAAAGGAGGAAGATTGGAAAGGAGGGTGCCATGAAGGTGTAGGGAGAGGGGTCTCGTTAATACCATTCTCTTTTCCCCCTCTTCCTTTCTGTACCTTTGTGCAAATGTCACAGCGAGTACACCTGGTGCTGAGTGTGTCTAGTGACTCAGGCCTGGGAGAGACCCTTCAACAAAGTCAGGCAGCTTCCGTGGTGGCCTTGGGGCCTTTGGTCCCATCTTCGAGGGCTCAGCTTGTGAGAGAAGAGCTAGCACTGTATGGGAAACGGCTGGAGGAGTCACCCTTTAACAACCAGGTTGGACCTGGCCCGGGGCTGGTGGGGATGTAGGGTGAATCTGGGCGCCGTGAGGGTACAGCTGCTGAGGCCGCTAGGTGCCTCCCTAGGGCTGCTCTTTAGATTTCTCCAGACCTCTCTGTCCCAGGAAATTGTTCATAAGATAACTCTGATTTCTCATAAGATCACCCAGATGTTTCCATGGTGAACAGTCTCTCTGGGGAGGGTGAGTAGAATTATGAGGTGGGCTAGACCTAGCCGTGGAAGTTTTCCTGACAGGATTTGGCTGGGAAGTAGGACCGGAGTGTATTTTGAGGTGATGTTATGTGCCCATCCCTTAATTAGACTCTCAGAGGAGGAGCCACTTGGCAGTAAGCTTGGTGCTGTAGCAGAAGCAAGCTACAGTAGGCTTCCCTCGTCCCTGTGCTGAGCCCTCCGAATCTCCCCAGATGCGGCTGCTGCTGGTAAAGCAGGGTTCAGGCCTGCCATTGTACCTACACCTCGTCACTGACTACCTGAGGCTCTTCACACTCTATGAGCAGGTTAGTTTGTTAATGTTACTTTTCTGCTGTTACGATAAAAATACTCTGACACAAGCAACTTAGGAAGGAAGGGTTTATTTGGCTCACAGTACAAGTCTATAGTCTGTTGTCGAAAGGTTGTTATAGTGGCAGGAGCTTGGGCATCTGATAACATTGCACCTGCAGTCACGAAACAGAGAGCTATAAATCTTGTTCTCAACACTTTTTTTTTTGCTTTTGAACACAGAGCAGGTTATCAGCCAAGGGAATGGCGCCACCCACAGTAGGTAGGTCTTTCCACCCCAAGTTCTCAGGACATGGTCAGAATGAAACCCGATTCCTGGCTAAAATATCACACAGATAGGCCCCTTCCAGGTTCCTGATAAAGTCCTTGTTGCTTTTTGGAACTTCTCGCATCACCTTTTCTTTCTTACTCCCCATTTTCTTTTTCTGTGATGAAACTCTGACAAAAGCTACCTAAGGGTCTAAGGATTTCGTCTGGCTCACAGTTCATGGGTGTAGTGCAGCATGGTGGGGAAGCCAAGAGGAGCCTGAGCCAGGAAGCAGAGAAGGGTGAGGGCATGCTGCTGCTTAGCTCCGTCACTTAGTTTATTGTATGTGTGAGTGTCTGACCTGTATGTGCCCTGTGTATGCTTGGTGCCCGCAGGGTTCAGAGGCGGGCGTCAGATCCTCTGGAACTGGAGTTGCAGATGGTTGTGAACTGTCATGTGGGCCTGGGAATTAAACCCCAAGTCCTCTGCCAGAGCAACACGTGGCTCTTAGCTGCTGAGCGGTCTTTCCACCCCCTCGGCTTCTTTTCTAGCCCAAGATCCACCGAGGGGTTGATGCCGCCCACCTTGAATAGTTCTTCCCACCTTGATTAAAGCACCCAAGGCAACTCCCCACAGGCGTGTCTAGAGCTCCATCTTCCAGGCGGTTCTAGACTGTCAAGTTTAAAATCAACACTGAGCATCACCTCTCATTGTTTGCTGTCTCTGGTCTCCCTATCTTTGCCTGACCCCTACTTTTCTCTCAACTGTTTTTCTTTACCTTTTCCTTCCTTCCCGCTGTAGTTCACTCCACTCCATCCCCTCCTGTACTACCTGTCACCTCTCTGCCTCCCCAGATGACAGAGCCTTCTCTTCTTCTTCTCCTAGGTGTCTGAGAGACTGCGAGCCCTGCCCGCCACCCTCCCACTGTTGCTGCAGCAGATCCTAAGCACCTTGGAGCAAGAGCATGGCCATGATGTCCTTCCTCGAGCTCTGGCTGCCCTTGAAGTCACGAAAAGTGGTCAGTGGTTGGGGAAAGGGTGGGAGGCTGAGGGCTCAGCTATCGGGTAACCTTCGTTCAGGTGGGATCTTAGCCAGGGGTGTGTAATAGAGATGGATTCCCAGTGTGGCTTGGGTTCTCAGAGAGTTCATGGTTTCAGGTCTGACTGTGGAGCAGCTGCATGCAGTGCTGAGCACATGGCTGATTTTGCCCAAGGAGATTAAGAGCTGGGAAGAAGCAGTGGCTGCTGAGCACAGTAGAAACCCTTACCCCTCAGGTCCATTTGCCTACCTTGTCCAGAGCCTGCGAAGGTAATGCTGCCCCAGCTGAGCTCCCGCCAGCCTCACTGCCTCTCCAGTTAGGACATCATATGATTCTTTCTCCCACCCTTTCTTTTGTATAGCCCTGACACTTGCCTCCCTGGTCCTGTATGCTGATGGCCCAGTTACCACTCTGCAGTGGGAATGCCGGCACACTGCCATGCTATCTTGTTCACTGACTGGCTCTGTTTCTCCTTCCTTACTCTTCTCCCCTCTTCTCTCGAGGACAGTTTACTACGGGAGGGCCCTGTGGAGCGCCCTGGTGCCCGTCTGTGCCTCTCTGATGGGCCTCTGAGGACAGCAGTTAACCGTCGCTATGGAAAAAAGCTGGGGCTAGAGAAGACTGCACATGTCCTCATTGCAGGTGATTGATTGCAGCTTGAGTTAGCATGGGCAGGAGTATGAGGCTTGGACCTAGAGGTCAAGACCATACCTTGGTTACTGGTTCGATAACTCTGCTGTAGCCTTCGACCTTGGAGATGCTACAAGGATAAGCCCTTCTCAATGTCTGTTCTTGCAGCTCACCTCTGGAAGATATGTGACCCTGATGCCTCGGGCATCTTCCAAAGTTGCCCTCCCGAGGCTCTGAAAGATTTACCTTACCACCTGGTAAGTTAGTCTCCACACCTCATAGATTCCTTAGTCCATGCATCTACTTGGGCTAGTCTTAGGTTCCTCTCCCCTTCCCCACCAATCCCACCAGTGTCATTAGCCTCCCTAAAGACCCCTCTACCTTCTTGGAGTTTTCCTGCTTTCCCCCTTTGTCTCAGGTCCTGGGCCTAAGTCCTGAATGCACAGGCACGCTCTAAGACTAGTCCATTCCTCACCAGCTCCTTCATATCCTAATGAATCCAATATGCTCTCCCCAGCTCCAGAGCGGGAACCATGATCTCCTTGCAAAGTTTCTCACCAATCTCCATGTGGTAGCTGCGTATCTGGAAATGGGTCTAGTCTCTGACCTCTTGGAGGCCCATGTGCTGTATGGTGAGAGATAAGTCATTGGACTTTTCTTTTGAGGGATGGGATACCCTGCTCAAGGGGAAGTGTAAAAAACACAGCCAAATTTCCATTCCAACTTGAAAATGCCACGGATGTAAGCAAATGATTCTTAGTAGACCCTTTCGCTTAGACCTCTTAGGTAGAGTTTCTAAGTTTATACTAAAGTAAATTATCTATCTAGGAAGTTTGCTAAAATTGTAGATTCTAAGGTGACAAGATTCCACTTCCCTAGGTCTGCAGTGAGACCCAAAGCTTTATACTTTGAATACGTGTTTCTGATATAAAGTTCCGAGGGTCACACTTTGAGACTTAGAATTTTAAATACACCATATAATTTTCCTTGTTTTTTTTTCCGTAATTTTTTTATAAGTTCAAATTAGGAACAAGCTTGCTTCATATGTCAATCCCTTCTCCCTCTCCCTCTCCCTCCCCTCCCCCCATCCCTAATCCTCTACTCCCCACCTACCCCCCACCCCAACCACCCTCCACTCCCCAGGCAGGTAGGGCCCTCGATAGGGGCTCAGCAAAGTCCACCTCATCATCCTGGGCTGGACCTAGCCCCTTCCCCATGTGTTCAGGCCGAGAGATACTGAAAAAGCCTTTTACAAAATCCAACATTCCTTCATGATAAAGATCTTGGAGAGAACAGGAATAACAGGAACATATCTAACCATAACCAAACCAATATACACCAACCCAACAGCCAACATCAAACTAAATGGAGAGAAACTCAAAGCGATTCCTCTAAAATCAGAAACAAGACAAGACTGTCCACTCTCACTATATCTCTTCAATATTGTACTTGAAGTTCTAGCTAGAGCAATAAGACAAGAAAAGGAGATCAAAGGAATACAAATCGGAAAAGAAGAAGTCAAATTCTCACTATTTGCAGATGATACGATAGTCTACATAAGTGACCTGAAAAACTCTACCAGGGAACTCCTACAGCTGATAAACACCTTCAGCAAAGTGGCAGGATACAAAATTTCCCTTGTTAATGGAGTTACTGAGGTTAATGGAGTCTAAGCTGGCTTCCTTTCTGACCTCCATTCCATTAGGGTGTGTGTATGTGTGTGTGTTTATGTAGGTGTATGTTTTTGTATTGTGTATTTCTGTGAGTATGTGTATGACTGTGTGTATATGTATATTTGTGCATATGTCTGTGTGTTTATATGTGTGTTTGTGTATGTGTGTGTGAGTGTATGTTTGTGTGAGTATGTGTGTGTGTGTGTGTGTGTGTGTGTGTGTGTGTGTGTGTGTGTGTGTGAACACTGCACACAGTCACCTATCGAGGCTAGAGCTGTTGTTAGTTGTAGTCTGTTGCTCTCCACCTTATTCCATTGACCCAGGGTCTCTCACTGAATCTGGAGCTCACTGTTTTTTGGTTAGTCTAATGGCTAATAAGATCCAGTGGTTCTCCTATCTTCTACCCTGGCCCCCAACACCAGCATTAAGGTTACAGGCACATGTGGCACACCTGGCTTTTTATGTAGGTGCTGGGAATATGAACTCAGGCCTCATGTTTGTGCCGCAAGCTCTCCAACCCACTGAGTTATCTCAGCTGCTCTCAATCTCTCCTCTCTTTTAAAACAGCTTCTTCAACATCCGAAGTGAACCCGAAGCCCCTGGAGGCGGATGTTGCTGCATTCCGTACCTTCCTGAGACAGCAAGCTTTGCTCCTTGCCCAGTATCCTTTGCTCCTGCTCCAGCAGGCAGCCAGCCAGCCTGTAGAGTCACCTGTTTGCTGCCAGGCCCCCTTGCTCACCCAGCGATGGCACCTCCAGTTCACACTACGATGGATTAATAAACCCCAGACCTTGAAGGACCAGCAAAGGTAAGACCCTTGACCCCAGCTCTGGTAGGCTGTTCAGAGAAAAAGAAAGGACAGACTAGAACTACCATGGAGAGGGGTCCAGGCATAGAATTGCAGGAAGTTGATTCCCGTTGGCTTTCTTACCCTCACTTCCTCTTTCCTCCTACTTTTTACCTCCCTCTCTAGCTTGTCTCTGGCAATTTCCTCTCCAACCGCTGTGGCCTTATCCCCTAATGGACAAAAAGCAGCTGTGGGCACTGCCAATGGGACGATTTACCTGTTGGACTTGAGAACTTGGCAGGTATGATGCAGAAGGCAGGCCAGAGTGACCATCAGAAAACCCTCACATACTGCCCTGAAGGCCTAGGCAAGCCTGTACATCCTTAAAACCCTGGTTGATCATTCATCTCATATGGAATTAGACATCTTGGTCAAAGGGCCATTCAACCAGCTGGAAGGTTCACAGCAGGGAGACTGGGGCAGGAGGACTGTGAGCGCAGAGTCAGCCTGTGCTGTCTGTTAAGTTCAAGGCCATCTGGGATTGCATAGAACAACATGAAACTCAAACAGCAGCTACGACTGTGCAGCATTCCTGTCTGGCTTCCACTCAAGGCATGTTACTTCAGCTTCAGAGAAACACAGGGCTCAGAGCCAGAGCCCAGTTGCTCACATTAGATCTATGGGAGTTGTGTAGATAGAGATGACCTAGGTTAGAAAAAGGCAGGCCTTCTGGCTTGCACAGGGAGCCCAGCAATGACACGGGGAAGAATGGTCCTGTAAATTGCTATGAATGATTGTAGTAGCCCGTAATACCAGACTGGAGAGAGGAGACAGCAGACATGCCTTTCTCTTCTTACCCACGTCACCCCCTCACCTGTGTACATGCATTTACTTAATACCCTTCCCTAGAACCCTACAAGTCTGTGGTTTGGGGCCTTGGAGTGAGAAAAGATGACCCTGCTTTGATTATGAGGTTCACTTGAACCTGCATTTGGGCTGGGAGTGTAGATAGCTAGGGACTTAAGCTCTTTTTGCCTTGGCCTCCTTTTTAATGGCTTGAATGGGTTGACTATGGGGGACTCGGGGATTCCCCTGAGCCACACTTTCCAACCGGCTGTTACAGGAGGAAAAGGCGCTGGTGAGTGGCTGTGATGGGATCTCCTCTTTTGCGTTCCTCTCGGACAGTGCTCTTTTCCTTACTACCTTCGATGGACTCCTGGAGCTTTGGGACCTGCAGCATGGCTGCTGGTAAGCGGGTCCCTCATGCTTCTGAGTGAGAAGCCCTGATAGAAAGGAGTGGGGAGGGAGCCTAATTGCCAGATGACCCCAGGACCCTGACTTTGTCTTCCGGGGACAGGGTGTTCCAAGCCAAGGCCCACCAGCACCAAATCACTGGTTGCTGCCTAAGCCCAGACCGTCGCCTGCTGGCCACTGTGTGTTTGGGAGGAGACCTAAAGGTAACAAAAAGTGACCCTCAACCATGAGTCAAACCTCATTTGTTGCTCAGTATGATGGAACTCTTGACTGCTTGTCCTGGGGAAGTTTGCTGAGGCAGGGGACTAGATACAGTAACCCTCGGGAACTTCGGAGCTGGGAAACGCTGCCATTTGTGCCCAGCACCCCAATTCCTCTTCTCTTTCTTCTCCAGCTTTGGGACACAGTCAGTGGACAGCTGGCCTTCCAGCACACCTGTCCCAAGTCCCTGAACTGCATTGCCTTCCACCCAGAGGGGCAGGTGGTAGCCACAGGCAACTGGGCTGGCAGCCTTACCTTTTTCCAGGCAGATGGACTCAAAGTCATCAAGGTACAGGTCCTGTGTGGTGAATGAACCAGCTTTTTGAAGCCCATGCCCTATGGTGGGATACCTTGCTTAGCCTTGATACAGTGGGGAGGGGCTTGGTCTTGCCTCAATTTGGTATGCCAAGTTGACTCCCCAAGGGAGGCTTTAACCCCTCTTGAGGAATGGGTGGGGTGGGAAGGGACGAAGGAGGGGGCAGGATAAGAGGAGAGAAGGGGAACTGGCGTTGGTATGTAAAATGAAAAAAAAATTTTAAATGGTTAAGAAAAAAAAAGGTTCTGTGTAGCTCTCTGGGAGAACACACAGGACAGGAGTGAAAGTGGAGAGTGGCAGTTTCGTTCCTTGTCATTTTGAGCCTGTGCTGAGAACAGGCCCTGTCGTTCCTGTTTCTACATCTCATCTAGGAACTAGGAGCCCCGGGAGCCTCTGTCCGTACTCTGGCATTCAGTGCACCTGGGAAGTCTGTGGCTGTAGGCAGGATAGACGGGGCAGTGGAGCTGTGGGCCTGGCAAGAGGCTACACGGCTGGCAACCTTCTCTGCACACTGTGGCTGTGTTGATGCCGTTCTTTTCTTGCATGCTGGAGGCCGGTTCCTGACGGCTGGAGAAGATGGCAAGGTGAGGTTACAGAGGACCTGTGGTGGGTTCGAGGACTGAGTAGCAAAAGTAGGGATGTGTTCAGGTGATGCTGGGGCTTTTGTTGAAGATCTCCAGGGAGTTTAGATGGTGAGGGAGATTTTCTAAAGTCTCTTGAAGGAAGATTTCATAGGGGATGGGACAAGGCAGCAGAGGTGAGTATCTCTAAACTCTTTTCTGGCATCCTAGGCTCAGTTATGGTCAGGATTTCTTGGCCGGCCCAGGGGTTGCCTGGGCTCTTTTCCTCTGTCGCCTGCACTCTCTGTGGCTCTCAACCCAGATGGTGGCCAGGTGGCTGTTGGGTACCGAGAGGATGGCATTAAGATCTACAACATTTCTTCAGGTATCAGAGGGGGAATGGACGGGTTGGCACCCTTGGAAAGAAGGTACCTGCTACCTCACTTCTTTTTCCAAATGTCTGTGTACACTTTCATTTTTCTAGGCTCCCAGGAGACTCAACGTCAAGTGCTAAATGTGGCAGTGTCCGCACTAGTCTGGCTCAGTCCCAGCGTTTTGGTGAGTGGTGCAGAAGATGGATCCTTGCGTGGCTGGATGATCAAAGGACGCTCTCTCTATTCCCTGTGGCTGTTGTCCCGACACCAGAAGCCTGTGCTTGGACTGGCTACTTCCCAGGAACTCTTGGCTTCTGCCTCCGGTATGGCTGAGCAGTGTTACCGAATCATTTCTTTGAAATATGCTGATGTCACCCTTCAATTTATAACTAGTTGCACATGCTCATCAAAACCCATGCGAGTACAGTTCTTATTTACAGCCTTTAAAATGCTTTTGAATGTGTTCATCTTACATAGTTACTCTAGACTGTTTCTAGAGAGAGTAGAGAAGAGGAGGAGAGGGAGTGCAGAATTGCCTCGGTCCTCTGGAAACAAGAGATGTTATCCTCACAGATGGTGAGGTGAAAGCATCATTGAGGCCTTGAGAATCGTAGCTTCTGTAGCAGCTGCTCTGAGAAGTGTGGCGGGAAATGAAGATACAAGGAGCCACCTTCCTGACCCCTGCTAAGCAGGAGCTGGGGTGCAGGGCATTCCCATGCTGTGTGCTTATTTAGTGTCTTGCCGGGGGCCTGTGCACATTCTGGTGATGCACCATCTCACTTCCTTAGAGCTGTGTCCCTGGGTGCTGTGCTCTGCTCCCGTGGCTCCCTTTGGCCTCCTAGGCCAGTCTCGCTTTGGTTTTCAGGAAGCGCTTCCCTTTCCATTTCCAATGCAGAGGATTTCACAGTGCGACTATGGTCCAGGCAGCTGCTGACACAGCCACATGAGGCAGAAGACTTTCCCTGTTGTGCTGAACTCCGGGGACATGAGGGCCCGGTGTGTTGCTGTAACTTCAGCCCTGATGGAAGCATTTTGGCCACTGCGGGCAGGGATCGGGTGAGCTGCAGAAGGATGAAACCCTGGGGTCCCACAGTCCATTTTCTATTGCTTTCTTCTCCTTTTTGATCTGCCAGCTCTGCAGGTGGGTCTATCTGCATGCCTTGCAATTTTTCTCCTCTTTAAAACTTGCCGCTTGAAACCAGGTGTGGTGCCACCGACCTTGACCTCAGTACTTAGAAGGTGAAGGCAGGAGGGTCAGGAGTTCATTGATCCATTAGTCCAGGGCCAGCTTAGGACACAGCTTAGGAGACTTTGTCAAAAACAAAACTAGCACACTATCTGAAATGGCTTCGGCATTGCCATGGTCTGTGCCCTGATGGATCCCTGTCATTGCCTACCCAGAATCTCCTCTGCTGGGATGTGAAGACAGCCCAAGCCCCTCTTCTGATTCACTCCCTCACTTCCTGTCACCGTGACTGGATCACTGGCTGTGCGTGGACCAAAGATAACCTACTGGTGAGTGGAGGGAAGGGGAAGAATACACAGGGCCCAGGAACCTGGAGGAAAGCAATCTCCACCTCAGACTTTTTCTAGCATCTTGTTAATTATAGTCTTGCTGACATCTTCTGGGTACATAGTATATGCTAGGTTTGACACGAGCTCAGTTTTACTTATTACCATGATTAATCTTTACAGTACCCTGGAAAGTAGTCACCACCATTATGTCTTTCTCACAGATAAGAAAATTGACCCCAGAAAAGCATTTTCAAGATCATGCAGTGATAAAGCTGAGCTAACAAGAATTCTTATTTGCTTTAACTCTTTACACTTTTATGTGCATGTGTGTATATGTGTAGTTGGATGTGCCATTGTGGTACATGAAGGTCAAAAGATAACTTGCAGTAGGTAGTGCTCTTTTCACATCTGGATCTAGGAAATGAATTTAGATTGCCAGGCTTGGTGACAAGCATCTTTATCCACTGAGTCATTCAACCATCCCTGAGCCAGTAAGCATTCTGATAGAAAAACCCTTCTGACTTTTTGGTGTTGGATATCGAATCTAAGGTACTAGCCACATTCCTCTAGCCTATGCCTTTTTTATTTAAGGTTTAAATTTTTTAAATTATGTTTTTAATATGTATGTGTGTGGGCTTGTGCATATGAGTGCCATGCCCATGGAGGCCAGAAAGGGATGTGGATCACTGAATCCAGAGTTACAGGTCATTGTGAGCTGCCTGATGCCAGTGCTTAGGAGCGAATTTCTGTCTTCTAGAACAGAGAAATTTTGTAGTTGGAGCCATCTCCAGCCCCAAAGCCCATGTTCCTAACAAGAACACAGTATGGTCTCTCCAGCTTTGGAATGCCTGAGAGTGAAAGATTTGTAAATCTCAGAGTATTTTCTCAGGGTTTGTAAAATATATGGAGTGTTCTTATGTTGTTTTATTTTTTTAAAATATATGCAATTTATTTTATGTTCATTGGTGTTTTGCCTGCATGTATGTCTGTGTGAGGGGGGCAGAAGCCCTGGAACTGGAGTTGCAGATAGATGTGAGCTGCCATGTGATTGCTGAGACTTGAACCTGGGTCTTCTGGAAGAGCAGATCATGCTTTTAACCACCGAGCCATTTCTCCAGCCCCTCTTATGTTGTTTCTTTAAAAAGGAGAGATAAGGAAGGATCCCTGCATGGTGCTGCACTCCTTTAATCCGAGCATAGTGAGTTCCAGGCCAGCTAGAGCTACATAGTAAGACCCTGTCTCAAAGCCACACAAAGAAAATGCTAGAGGAATGCTGATGATCTTGCTCCTTTCCCTTTTGGCTGTAGGTCTCCTGCTCTAATGATGGCTCTGTGGGACTCTGGGATCCAGAGTCAGGACAGCAACTTGGTCAGTTCCTGGGCCACCAGAGTGCTGTGAGCTCTGTGGTTGCTGTGGTAAGGCAACGGACTTCACCAGCATTCTTTGGGAAGGTCAGGAGAATCTGGGAGACTGGATGTATTAGGTATCTAGTTTCAAAGGCAAATAGTAAAAATGTGATGCTTAGGACTGTATTACAGTGTTGAGTTTGATGGGTGATATGATGGCACATAAAAATGAGTTCTCTAGTATTGTGAATTTCTGGCAAGATGGCAGTCCCAAACAACTCAGCTCCAGAGTCCTGAGTTCCTCATCTTTTCCCTGATGTTTACCTTCCCCTCTCTGGAGGGAGTTAGGGTCTTGGCCATGTGTTTTCTACATCCTTGGTGTCTTAATCAGGAACTCAATAAAAGCACACACAGAATGGACTGGAGAGATGGCTCAGCAGCTAAGAGCACTTCCTAAAGACCTGAGTTCAATCCCCAGCACCCATGTCAGGCAGTTCACAGCTGCCAGAATCCCCAGCTCCATGGAGATCTAAAGCCTTGCGCACCTCCATCCATGTGCACATGCCTACACACACACACACACACACACACACACACACACACACACACACACACACGCACATGTGCACACACATGTGTACACACAAATGCACACTTAAAATTTAAAAAAGAATTTTAAAGCACACACAGATTGTGAGAACAGAGAGATAATTTTATTCAAAGCAAAACAATAGTATAGGACCAATAGCCTGTCAATAAGGACAGCTGGTGACATAAGTGAAAGAATACTCAAGGGTCCCAGATATTGGTTAGTGCTTCTTGGATGAGGTCTGAAGGAAGGAGGAGTTTGGTTACTAGGGGTTCCTAGGGATGTAGGGTATAGTTTGTGTGGTTCTCTATTTCTATTGACAGACTTGGATTAAATAAGCTTTTTGCCCTCTGTACATGTGTATTACCACAGTGTTTCTATTTTTAATTATATGTATACCAAATAGGGACATAGTTTGATTTATTTCACATGCATCCAAAACCGGTTCAGGCCAGATCCCTCATACCCAGAGGGAAAAGAGGATATAATTGTATGGAAATCTGTCTATGTTTGCTGCATGTTAGGAGGAAGAGAAATTTATTCCATTGTTCAAAGGTAGGGGTGTGTGCAGTTCTGTGCAGGTGGGAGACTTAGGTTGCTGATGAGGTATTAGTTGTGTTGTTTGGAGAGCGGGGTATGCATAGCTCATGCAGGTCAGGGTCTCAGGCTGCCAGATGAACTATTACAATTGTGTGCATACTCCAAACAAGTGCAGTCCAAGAAGCTTTGCTTGCCTGCCTCATTTCCCACATCCTACTCACTGTGACTGTCCTCTGACACTGTGATCTGGGAACAGGAGGAGCATATAGTATCTGTGAGCCGGGACGGGACTTTGAAAGTGTGGGACCAGCAGGGAGTGGAGCTGACCAGCATCCCTGCTCACACAGGACCCATCAGCCAGTGTGCAGCTGTCCTGGAGTCCCGCCCAGGTATTGAACCATCAGCCCTTCCCCTTTGTTGCTACTGTTTTTGTTTCCTTCTCTTCTTCTTTTTCAGTACTAGAGAATAAACCTAGGGCCCAGTGCTTGCTAGCTACCGCTCTATTACAAGTCTTTGCATCTGGTCCTGACCATTCTTTCTGAGTTGGTTTCCCTGTCTTTTCAGCTGGACAGCCTGGATCAGAGCTTCTGGCAGTGACGGTTGGACTGGATGGAGCCACAAAGTTGTGGCATCCCCTCTTGGTGAGCTCTCTGCAAGAACTTGGGTCGGGAATGGATAGAAAAGGCATGAAGGACAACCTCTGCAACCCCCTTTTTCCTAGGTGTGCCAAATACGCACCCTCCAGGGACACAGTGGTCCAGTCACTGCTGCTGCTGCATCCGAGGCCTCAGGCCACCTGCTGACCTCAGATAACAGCTCTGTACAGCTCTGGCAAATACCTAAGGAAGCAGGTGAGTGATGGGGGGAGGAGGTAGCATGAAAGAAGACTGGAACAAAGAATGCCAAGGGTAACCTTATACCTCAATCCCTTCCAGTAGCCAAGATGTTTTCTTTCTTTCTGAGACAAGGTCTCACTTTGTAGTCTTTAGACCAGGCTGGTTTTAGACTCACAGATGTCCACCTGCCTCTGTATCCCCAGTGCTAGGATGAAAGGCGCCCACCACTATTCTTCTCTCTGTATCAGAGCTCTTAATGTATACCCTCCTCTCTTCACCAGATGATGCAAACAAACCTAGAAGTGCTGTGGTCATCACTGCTGTGGCATGGGCACCAGATGGTTCTCTGGCAGTGTCTGCAAATGAAGCTGGGGAGCTAATACTATGGCAGGAAGCCAAAGCTGTGGCTACAGCACAGGTGACTAAGTCTGTGTGAATTCTGTCCATTAGTGGAACTTCCTTGGGTTAGAGTTTTTCTTGCATGTCCGGGAGGAGGAAGGTTTATGTTTTTTTCCTCAAAAGTACTAACTGAACTTGCTTCACACACAGGCTCCAGGCCGTGTCAGTGACGTGATCTGGTACTCGGCACATTCGTTCTTTGTTCTTAGTGCCAATGAAAATGTCAGCGAGTGGCAAGTGGAACTGTTGGAAGGGTCAACGTCCAGAAATCCCAGGTGAAACAAGGCAGCTGCTGATGGGAATGTCGAGCTACACACACCTAGGGTTTTGTTATGATCTGTCTATGCTTCTGGGTGAGGCTGACAGGATGTCAGCTGCCTCTGGCTTTATCTGTTGTTTTCAGATTACCTTTATTGATCTTTGTGTGTCCTTGTGACAGGAAACTGGATATGTGGGGGCAGCTAAGACATTTTGCTTTATACTCTTTTATTTGTGAGTAGTACCTGTGGAATTGAGGAGTCTGAGGAAGGTTAGCTAAGGTAGTGCCTTCCTCTGTTTATGTCTTTATAGTCTTCACCTGTGTGTGCAGAGGTCAGAGAACAACCTGAGGGAGCTGGCTCTCATACCATCATGTGGGTTCTGGGGAATCAAACTAAGGTCACCAGGCTCATTGGCAAGTGTCTTCACCCACTGAGCCCTCTCACCAGCCTCTGGCCTTGTCAGTTTAAAGTTTAAATGAGTAATTCTTTTGTTTCTTTGTTTGTTTGTTTGTTTGTTTCAAAACAGGGTTTCTCTGTATAACAGTTCTGGCGGTTCTAGAACTCACTTTGTAGACCAATCTGGTCTCGAACTCACAGAGATCCACCTGCCTCTGACTCCCAAGTGCTGGGATTAAAGGTGTGCACCACCACTGCCCAGCTAAATGAGTAATTCTTAAATGCCTACTTGGTGTTAAGTTCTAGACCAGAGAGTGTGGTACACATGAATTTTATTTGTTTGTTTGTTTATTTATTTTGGGTTTTCAAGACAGGGTTTCTCTGTGTAGCTTTGGAGCCTATCCTGGCACTCGCTTTGGAGACCAGGCTGGCCTCAAACTCACAGAGATCTGCCTGCCTCTGCCTCCCGAGTGTTGGGATTAGTTTACTTTTGAGGCAGAGTTTTGTTACATTGCTCAGGTTGGCAATTCAGGGTCTTTCCCACTGAGTCTCCTGAGTGGCTGGAATTAGAGGTGTGTGGCACCAAACCCAGCTGAATTTTTTTTTTTTTTTT